TGGTGCAAATTACTGACCTCTGTCATCATTTTAAGTGGGGGAACTTGCACAATCGGTGGCTGACTAAATACTTTTTTGCCCCACTGTATGTATGTTTCTTTTTCACAGGAGCAGAACTGTGACAGCAACATCCTTGGTAAATCCTAGGAACTCTGGGCCATGCCGACTTAACCTTTTAAATGCCACTTTCCGTGTCTTTGTGAATTTATCAGCAGTGTGTTATTCATGACCTTGTATTGCTTGCAATGCAGAGGTCACTGTGAGAAAGTGTGCATACAGATGCGCAGAGGAAGCTCAGGGTTGGAATTAGGACTCTGTAAATGGCACAGACAGCAGGAGCCATGACCGTGACTGGGGAATGACTGACAACAAAATGCTGTTTCACTCTGCCATGCATACTTTGATATTCTGGAGAGGGCCTTTCCTCTGTATCATTGTTGTTGCCATTTGCATGTGAGAGCTTAGATTGTGAGGATGATTAAAGATGACCAAAGGGTGGTGAGAGAACAGTGAAGTGAGAATACACAGTGTGAAACTCCTTTAAGTGTACAATAATGTTAATGTGATATACAGAATGTCAGGAAAGAAATTCTGTTATTAATGTGATTCTTAAGGTTTGATTTAAGAATCAAAGGGTGGGATTGTATACGAATTTCTTTTATTTATGTATTAATCACATTATTTTTATTGTATAATGCCTTGGTGCCACTGAAATTTAGCATGTCTCACATTCGTGCAGTTAGACAGGGGGTGGGGGTCTGGTAAGGAAGTTGGGGGAAGCAGACAACTCCACGGGAAGAGTCTTTTGTCCCCTGTGGACTGTGGGAGGTAGCAAGGGAGTGTGAACCTTAAGGTGTGAAACAGCTGTGTACTGCCTTTTGTTCCTGAAGAAGGAGAGAGCCATGCTAGGCTGCTGACCGTCTGCCCCGCGATGATGCAGGCTCTCCACCAAGCTTGGTTTTCTATTCTTTGTGTTGATTAAAGAATGTTAGCTACTGCTCACCGCTTGTCTGCAGGCTTTATTTAAACGGAAAACTTCCACAACACCCCTCAACATTCAAACACATTTTAAATGTCTTCCTGAAAGCCTGAAGAGCTAATCTTGAAGACTGCTTAAAGAAGAAAATTGGAAGAAAGTTTATTTTGTGTTGAAGAGCAAAAGTGGTCATCCCAAATATTGATTTTCATGCTCTTTAATTTATCTGTTTTTCCTTTAATGTTTTATTTTCATTTATAGCTACATGTTTCATTAAATGTCTGCATCTATTTCCCAAGCAAAACATCAGGAAGTGAGTGATGGCTCAAGACTTTTGCACCACGCCATATCACAGGATAAAGAATTTAGCTGACAAACCTGCTTTTTGACATTTAAGTATTGAAGCTGTTTAATCCAATCTAATGCCATGAATTACCTTCGGTTTGTGTGCACTTTTGTTTTCGAAAAACATAGCAAACTAAAAGTGAAACAAGTAATGCAGCTTGGTGAGCATGCTTGTGACTTAGTAAAGTAGTGCATACAGGTAGTGGGTAAAACCTGAACATAATCATCACATCAGTGTATCCTACCTGGTACACATAGGTTTAATAATTTATTAGACTGGGCTTGAAAATGTAGTGCTATTAGAAGAAAGTTACAAAAGGTTAAGCATTTAAGCTTTTTTCCTCAGCTCATTCACTCTGATTTTGATATCTTGTCATTATATATTTGAAAAAGGAAAAAAAAAGATTCTATAAGCAGCTTTAATCGTCTCTAACAATCCAGATATTTTTCCTTTAAAACATCTCACCATCTGTTCATGGAACAGAAATGAAAAACCCAGTGTGTACTTATAATCCATTCTAATTTAATTTAATAGACTACATATATTGTTTCTATAAATCAACAATATTATTATTGTCACGATCAGCCAGTGGTTTCATGGTCTTAGAACAACCCCCAATCTCTTGTTAAATGTCCAGTGTGAGATGAGCCCCACCCATTCCAGCATCACAGATCCCCAGCGTCAGATAAGCCTACCGTATATAAAAGATGTGCTCCTCTTCAGCTGCACTAGACGAAAAGATCTGCCTGCAATATAAGTCTCTTTTGCAAAACCTTCCAGGGGATTTAGCAGAAGCTTTTATTCTTGAAGGTTAGTGGATAAAGATTTTTTTTTAGTACTCTTAAAACTATCTTATGTGAAAAACAGGGAATAAATAGGTTCCCTTTATTTCTTTTACTGCTTGTTTGTCTTTTTAGTTTATATTAAAAAAAAAAACCCAATCCTTGCTTTTTTTGGTCTCTATTTTATAATTGACAAAGAGAAAAGAAGAATAGATATCTTTGAAGGAAACTCTTCCAGTGAACAAAATGAAAAGCCTCAACTCTGTGCCGTGTTCTTGAATGGATGCAATTAATAGACTGCTGGAGCACAGCTTCCAAGCCTCCTGACAGAGCCCCGTTCAGACCATACCATCGACACCACAGCTCACTCTGATGGGTTGTTTTATCTTCAACAGTGGAAATGTGACTTTGCCTGGGAGGAACCCTTATACTGTGCAGACCTCTGTGCCTCTAACAATCCTGGTGGGTATCCTTATCCTGCTAACACTGTTTGGTAATGTCATGGTAGTAATTGCTGTGATGACAAGCCGTGTCCTGAGAGCACCTCAGAACTTATTTTTAGTCTCTCTAGCATGTGCAGACATCCTGGTTGCCACTTTAGTGATGCCATTCTCTTTAGCGAATGAACTGATGGGTTATTGGTTCTTTGGGAAGGTATGGTGTGGAATCTACCTGGCTTTGGATGTTCTTTTCTGCACATCATCCATTGTTCATCTGTGTGCAATAAGCCTGGACAGATACTGGTCTGTCACACAAGCCATTGAGTATAACCTGAGAAGGACACCACTCAGGATTAAAGGCAAAGTCTGCTTAGTTTGGATACTGGCAGCTCTCATTTCATTTCCTCCGCTTATCACAGCGAAAAAGGACAAAACAGACAGTCTTGAATGTGACATTAATGGTGAGAAATGGTACATCATATTCTCCAGTTGTGCCTCCTTCTTTGTACCCTGTGTCATTATGATTACGGTGTATGTTAGAATCTACCAGATTGCCAAGAAAAGAACAAGAGCCCCACCTGGAGAAAGGCAAAGACACAATGGGAACTCAGAAGACCCAAAGTTCGGTTTGGACACGCTGGAGAGAAAAGACAGAGAACAGAGGGAGGTGAGAGGAGAAGACGGTAAAGAGGCTAATGAGCTTGATGTGGAGGAAGAACCCTCCTCTTCCGATGGGAATGAAACAATCCTATGTTCACTTACAAAGAAGAAGGCTATGAAAACAGCAAAAGTGACTCAGGTGAATCCCGGAGAAAGCGCTTCAAAACCACAGCCGGAGTCCCGCGAGAGAGGGAGAAGGTGGAAAGGAAGGCAGTACAGAGAGAGGCGCTTTACATTTGTTCTGGCTGTAGTCATGGGAGTGTTTGTTCTCTGCTGGTTCCCCTTTTTTTTCACGTACACGCTCACCGCTGTGTGTGACAAGTGCTGTGTGCCAGAGACCCTGTTCAAAATGTTCTTCTGGTTAGGTTACTGCAATAGCTCACTAAACCCCGTCATATACACTGTATTCAATAATGACTTCAGGAAATCCTTTAAAAAGATCCTTTGTAAAAGGGACAGAAGAGTGTAATAAATACTTTTATGCATTCATTTCGAACAATAAAGGGCATTTGGTCATACATTTATCTGTTATTGTAACCTTTGAAAATATTAGACAATATTGAATATTTGAAAAAAGAAAAGGGCATTTTTTCTGTTATATATTAATGTCTTATTGATACTAAGTGTTAGTTTTTGCGATATTAAATCATACTTAAATCCATGATGTGCATTTGCTACACAGCTCGTATTATATTTGGACAACCTGTGAGTTAAAGCTTTGATATTGTGAAGTTGTATCAATGTTGATGATGCACATTTTCTACATGTGTCTGCTGGTATACAGTATTTAAACTGATATCCTGTGTTTGTTTTTAGCTTCAAAGTTAATAGCTTGTAGAAGACAGCAGAAGCATATTGCAACAGAGTCTGCTCAACATATGCAAAATTGTCCATGTTGGTAATACAAAGGCAGACATTTGGCTTAGACGTTACCACAATAAACATGCCACGGCTTCATCAACGTGACTGTTCATGGAGTAGCTGAAGAAAATGATTACTAGTGATAATTATACATTACTGTAAATCCACAAGAATGTCAAAGGAGTCTAAATAAGCATATAAGTATTATGTTTGAACCTTAGTGATGCGCTCACACCAGGCTGAAGGAATGCCACATCGATGCACATAAGCTTCTCTGTCTATGCCAATTGAATTAAAAACATAAACACATTTAAGAAATGTAGATAACTGTAAATGCTACAATATTGCCAATAAAAAAATGCATACTTTGTATAGTGCAATCAATAGCAGGAAGTCATAATAACAAGTTGCACCCAAAGGACGCTATCCCCACAGCACCAACTATTCTCAAACAACAAATGCATGAACAAGACAATTATATGAAGAGAAAATGATGCCTTGGAGGTACGGGTGGCAAAACAATATCTAATTCAGTTCATTGTGAATTATAGTCCTTCATATCAGGATATCATTAAATCCTTCCCCTGAGTCAAACACAAGTCATGGAGCAATAGAAATATGATTGGCTCCTGCAAACACTGTGAAGTTAATATCCACACATGCTTATCAACGCGTTGTTATCCTACTTGGTGTGTTATCACCATTCATTGTCTTGTCGCTATTTAACCACACTTTTCAGAACAGTAAAACCTTTATTTATAGTTCTAATTCCAAGCCACTATCAGCCTGTGAACCTGACATAAAGTAAATAAACCATCCATAATTGTTTTAACTTAGCAAACATTTCCACCCCCAGCCACCTCTCATACAACAGAGTGATTCCCATGGCTTGTTCTTTGGGACTCTGGTGTTTTGAGATTCCTGTGGTACACATGTGTGGGTTCAGCCATGTCTCAGAGTCTTAAAATACAGCATCCATTAGGAATGGCAAACTATCGACCTGACTGTCGAATGTTCCCACGAACAATTTGTCAAAAGGAATTAAAAAAAAAACACACTGTAATGGAAGCTTTGTGGTAATGAGGGTTTATTCGATATAAATCAGAATTTCTAAAGGGTCTGCTATAACAGCCCTAATAAGAATAGATTATCTTTTGAAACATTTTGACAGGTATCTGCTTGTATTAGTATTACAAATAAACATAAAAAACTATTTAGTACTATAAAGTATTCAAAACAAATATTTCTACTGCTGCACATCAGTATGGTTTGAACGATGAAACTGCAGTGATTGCCGTCTGAATTCATCCTTTAATTAAAATAACAATTCTGCTGCTATGCTTGAGCAGCAGGATGCATAAATTACATTTTTAACAAACTCACCAAGCAACAGAGAAATTAAATGCCAAGAGGCCCATAACATTACTAGGCCAAAAGATTAATGCAAAAGTAGAAGTCGTGAAGTATAACAAGAGTTATATGTAAATCACAAAAATACAGACAAATGTTGACTGCGTCAAATATAGCTGGATGTTTTTTCAATGTGCTGTGGGACTGACGGTTGGTTAGATAAATAAGCACTTACATTAGCTAATCTCAGTGTATGCACACAGAAGACCACTTGCACGGTCTGCAGAGAGAATGATTTATTTCCCTCTCTACAGGCCACAGAGCACCGCGATTTATGCATCTGACATCCTTTATAAGCTGCTTCTGGCGAAAGTTCTTACAACTTTCACGCAGCTCCCTGCTCAGCTTCCATCATTTTATTCTAATTTCTCCCCACTTACAACTCAATAAGTGCTCTTTAAAGCTGCTGGCCATGTATCTCAAAGGGGTCTAACTTAGAGACAATTAAAGAGCACTGAGAAAAGTGTGCATCTTGGATAAACAAGGACTGCCAAGGCAGGATTGCACAGAGTCAGAGAAACATCAAGGTCACACTAACAAGTTTAAATCATAGCTGGTGATGAATAGAGTGTTTTTAATTGAATGTTGGGTCATTCATTATGGTTTGAGCACAATGCATCATGCACACTGGGGCATATAATACTTCCTCCCCCCTGAATTGATAAGGATGCAAGACAATCAAATTAGATTCTCTGGGATGTAAGCAGCAGGAGCCTCCTGTTTAATTTGCCTCATGATCTCACTGTGCTCACATTGCATCCAAAATAAATATTTCAGTCCCTAGTTTTCTGAATGTGTTTAATATTTTTAAGCATAATATTTCTAGCTGTCTAATTATGCAGAAGATGGCTGCATTTTTCTTTGCGAGAAATTATAAAATGATAACCCAACATAGTAGGAGGAAGATCAAAAATATGGACGTTTCTGCAATAGCTTTGCAGCCCAGTGTTTTCTGTTTTCCAAGACTGGTGTAATTAGAGACTATTTTTGATCTCCAGAAGAAAACCCCAGGGAAAAGAGGACCTCAACGAGGAATAAAGACAGCCAAAGTGCATGGATAATGTGAAGTTGAATAAATATTTCAAATATGGCAACAAATCAAAGTTCATTCTTTGGGTCGACCAGCACAGTCTTTACTAATTCATGCTTTACTTTAATCATATTTACCTCCTGTTTGTATTGAGCTGCAGCAGAAAATTCCTGCTTAATTATTCATCAAAACCATCAGCAAATTCAGTTAACGTGAGTTTATTTCGCAGTACCTGATGGTTAGATTGTAGTTACACAAAAGATACCTTATGCAAGTGCTACTTGAATGAGAAATATGAAAGCAGTCCTGCTTTTAGCATTTATCTATTCAATTCAATTCAGTTTTATTTATACTGTGCCAAAAAACAACAACAGTTATCTCAAGGTCATTTATATTTTACAACAACACAAAGAAAACAGAGAAAACCCCAACAATCATGTGACCCCCTATGAGCAAATGATTTGGCGACAGTGGGAAGTGCTCTTTAAAAGGACGAAACCTTCAATAGAACCAGGCTCAAGAAGTGGCCCCTATGTTAGCATTTATCTCTGCATAAATGCTAAAAGCAGAGTATAGGTGAACACTTACTGCCAACACAATATGATGAGTAGAACTGTAGTTATACAGCAGTTTGTAAATGAGTCACATTTTTGGGTCAACTCTTTGTCTTTCTTGGATAATAAAGAGCAACTTATTTTATTTTATGAACAACATGTGCTTGAAAGTACACTCTGAAGGAACTCTTTGGGTATGAGTACGTGTGTGTGAGAGAGGATAAGAAGGGCAAATTGATGGAAAAGGTGAAAGAGTGAGCTTTTTAGGTCCTATTATTCTGACAAATTTGTGACCTCATAAATGAGAAATAATTTAATAAAAGTCTGAGTCTGAAAACAAGTTTGATTCTTTTTGTCAAGTCAAGCTGCTCTGCCCGCTGGGAAAGTGCCATCACCGTCTGCAGCACACCTTCATTGATACCGAGTGTAGCTCTTGCAAATTTCCTACTCCGGATATCATAATTCTTCCTGAGGCATCTTGTCCTGTCTGTAGTATTGATTGTATTCAATCCTTGTCCTCCGCCAGCACCATCATATGCTCCCGGATGATGTCATCAAACACACCCACAAACATATAAGTGAACTATGCAAACACCAACTCCCGATCAAGCTTGCAATAATTTCTGTCCTCATCACTCAGACACCCAACAATTAATCTCTGAATATGCTTCCAGTTACCATACACCAATACACTGGCATAACAAGGTGGATAGATATGTGGCTTTATAGGCAAAGTCTCAGTCTCTACCTCATCTCTTTTTAAAAGGCTCTAAGACGACGAAGCAAACTGGCCACTTTATTACTTACACCTTACCAGTACTTGACTGGACCCCCTTTTTGCCTTAAATCATTGTGGCACAGATTCAGCAAGGTGTTGTAAAGATTCCTCAGAATATTTGAGTTAATTTTGAAATTAGAGCATTGGGCAGTTGCTACAAATTTGCTAACTGGACATCCATGCTACAAATTTCCCACATAATTTCCGCCACATCCTAAAGCTACTCTTTTGGAGATCTGGTGACAGTGGAGGCCATTTGAGCAGTGTAAACAAATTGTCATGTTCAGGAAACCAGTCTAAGATGATATGAGCATTGTGACATGATGCATTATCCTGTTGGAAGCAGTCATTAGAAAATGAATGCACTGTGGTCATAAAGTGATGGACATTGTCACAAACAATACGCAGATATTCTTTGGTGTCACTGACAAGGCATTTTCACTCAGAAAACTAAAGCTCACTGGGAATTTTGTCTTTCAGACAATTCTCTGTGACCCTTAGAGATGGTTGTGTTGGAAAATCCCAGGAGATCAACCTGTTTCTGAAACACTCAGCTCAGCCGTCTTGCAATATTCTCTGTTCAGTGTCACTTAAATCACCCTTCTTCCCCATCCTGATGCTTGGTTTAAGTTTAAGAGTTGCTTGATTTGCTACCTAGATAAAGAGCCATTGAGCGGGTGCACCTAATTGTTTAGTCTAAGTAAGTAATTTAGTGTAAATTACAGTATCTAATTGTGAAATAAAAACATGACAACATGCAGACAGAATGAAGGCAATATCAGACAATAAAAATAATTGCCAAGAATCTCACTTAATATTTGAAGATTAGGTCCAAGTTAAATCCAGTTAAATATTAATGTCATTTACTAAAAATATTTTAAAGATAAAGAAAGAATAAAGCAAAATTTAATTCCAATTAGCTGAAATGTTTTTCCAGATGCTTTTTTCAAAATGTAACATTTATATGAAAAATAATGAATCTCTTCAACAGGATGTTGGAGTGGTCCATGCCTCGTCCAGTTATGAAGAGCTGCTTTAATCTGTCTAAAAAGAACATCATTGCTTTACTTTGACTGCTGCATAACAACACGTTTGTAGTAAGTTATTACCACTGCAGTAATTTGTTAATACCATGTGACGTGGAATCAAATGAGCTAGTCTACTGGTCACAGAGTAACTCCTGAGGATATTGAGATGAGTTTCATTCTCATTTCTCAAGCTTGGAAAAATCTAGACTGTACACTAAGTATCTCTTAGATTCCAGAAAAGGTAAGGCATTGTGTTGAAGTATGTTTGGGAATTTTTAATATATATATACAAAATAACAAACAAAAACAGTTAGAGTGGTGTTAGACGCAGCTGAACTCTTATGCTAACTAAGTAGCTAGCTAAATGCTGTGCGTAATGTAGGTATTTGGCTACAGCCTAAGATTTATAATGGGATATTTGTAAGTGCAAATCTGATACGAATGGATAAAGAAAATTATAGTTTCAGTCTGTAAAAAGCATGCATGGCTAAGTCAATGAAAAAGCTTGTCTGTTTTGTTGTTGTTGTTGTTGTTTTTTAATTAAAGGATAACATAATATGCTATCTATATTAGATGCAATAGTTTTATTAATGTTTATAAATGTTTGTAATGCAAAGTATTGATTACAGAAAACTGTTTTACATGGCAAAATTAGAAAAAAATGAACACTTATTTATTTATTTATTTATTTATTTATTTATTTATATATATGAAGTACAGTGTCTCACATTTTCAGGTCTCTTTAGTCTCTGAAAACGTTGCTTTGGCTTGTACAGCCTTAGAGTCTAATACAGTGTCTGTGGCCTGCAGTGTTGATAGCTGCTCTCCTTGATGGCAACAGTGGATCTCACAGGTAAGTCTACAATAAACAGTTGTGTAGAGACTGTCTATTGGCTTGCAACCTGAGTGGAACGATGTGTTCCCTGTTTTTGTGCCACCAGGTATTATTGTTCATGCACTAGTGAAAGGTTTTCTTATACCACAATTTATTAATACATTTGCGGTCTAGTTAATGCAAACAGGAATTTGGCTTTCTTCTACCCGGAAAGCAGTCCGTCTGATAGAAATGGCAGATTATCTACACAGATTAGTGATAGGTTTCCAGACACAAATTTCTGGTTTAATCGAATACCCAAAATTGGGACTTTCTTCCTCGGCTCTTTTGTGAATATTCCTTATATCTGTCTGTACACATTAGCTGATAAATCCAATTTATGCACTTTAATTTGGAAATATGTTTGAACTGAGTTTGAGGTTTGAGATATTTTTCTGTACTTTTAGCTGACATCTACATCTAGTAGAGCTAAATGTTAAAAAGATAAAAAGTGGAACATCGCGAGCACCACAAACTGAAGCACCACTCACTGCATGCTTTTGCAAACTTCATTTCTCATAAGATATCAACTGTTTGGTAACATTTTTTAACAAAGTATTTTATCCGTGTTTTAAAATGATGTGGTAAACTGTGTAAACCTTTGCCTGCGAGGAAGCAGTACACTACCCATAATAATAAGCCCCCACAGTAATGCAATTTAGGAAGAATAATGAGCCAAACTAATTTCCATGTCCACAAACATAATTGTATTTGCAAGTCCCAAATTTGAGATTATAGATTTGGACTAGCCGGTTGAAGAAATTGTGAACAATAAAGTATAATATATGTCTAGCTGTTCCCAAACAGCATGTTGTTATTCAGTTCTTGGTTGAAAGAAAAACTGTACAAACGAGTAAGCATTAATTTAATTAGGTTTCTAGACTATGGAACTGACACATAGTCATGCAAGAGTAAAGATCATTGATTATGAGTTTTACACTATGAAGTTGTGTAACTTTCAAGTTAGAATCTGACAACCTCCTACGAGCAGGTTAGCGACAGTGGGAAGGAAAAACTCCCATTTGGCAGGAACCGGCTCAGGGAGGGGCAGTCATCTGCCACGAGCAGTAGAGGGTGAGGGAAGGGAGACAAAACAAAAGGCACCCTATAGAAGAAAGCCGTAGACTAATTATAAAATGCAGATTGGTGTAGAAACACCTTCTGCAAAGCATGTGACTTTTTGGTGACTTGTAATTTTCCCTTTTGAGTATGGCAATATACCAGATGACCTTCTTCTGACTATAATAAAAAAAGCCTTCACTTCATATACAAAGGGTAAAAGCCAGACTTTAGAAAAGTGCATATCCTGCAGAACAAGTCAAAATGTGGGACATTGTCTGAAGCTGTGGGATGGGGGGGGGGATCTGGTCATCCTAGTTATGACTGCCCTCTGCAGACAGATGTGTATAACTGCTGCAGTGAAGGTTAAACCAAAAATGTGAGACACAGTCAGCTGACATAAGCACATTTTCTCTGTAGCGCTGCTTGCATAACATTTTCACAAATAACTCGGATACGTGTTTATCGAGGTGGGTCATAAATCGTGTCCTTGTATGCGGGCGTGAACGCGCATGAGCAACACGCAGGGAGAGCGTGGCGCGCGTGCTCTCCTTTCCGAGCCAATCACATTTTAGATAAACACAATGTTGCGTCATTGTTATTGTGGTAGTTGGAGCTCCAGCTGGTTGCAGGCATTTCGCCACCATTTCGCTGATATATAGGCCTTTAAACCTGCGGAGACTGCATTATACCGCTGCAATGTCACTACCGGTGGACGCTTCCTCTGACGAAAGTCTGCAAGGTGAAGTATTTACGCCAAATATATATTTGCCAGTGTTGTTGTTAGCGGTAGACGATAGTTGAACACCACGAGTAAATAACGTCACCTAGCCTGACCACGTGAAAAGCCAGTCGATAGGGGTGTTTGGCTAAATAGCGAGATTGAATCTCAACTCCACATTGATTTATATACCTATAAGACGTGTAGACACAGCTATACAGGGTAGGCCATGGTTCTAGTTAGTTATTAAGGCTAATCTGCAGTGTTGCCACGATGAAAATGCCTACAAGCTAAAAACAGTCCTCATTTGTTTATTGTTCCTCTACGCGCAGAGACTGCATTCCTATCCTAGCCGAGATTGGCCTGTGATGTAGTACTGGATAACCAGGATTCATGTTTAAAGACTTTGCATTTGATTTGAGGTTCCTGGGTTGAGCTGCATTTCAGTGGGAATGGCTCCCAAAGTGCCAGTCAACAAGGAAGCCAGGAGCAAATTCCCTCATCCAGCCTGGCAGCTGACATGGAGAAAATGTTGCTAGAAGCACAGCACGAATCAGGCAGGAGCAGCTCCAGAGGAAGCTCTCAGTGCAACAGGTTGGTGGGGGTGGGCAGAAGGGGGAAGAGCAGTTCATGTTTTTCCTCTGTTTGTTGAGTAATATGAAGAAGTCGTGAGCTGAGTTTCCCTTATGTGTTTTCTTCTCCTTCTCCTTCTTCTTCACAACAGCCCACGCAGAGCACAGACGCCGCTTCTTCTGTGGAAAGGCTCAGAGGGGAATAGCTCACAGGTACATTAAGCCTTTCTCACAGCAGAAATTTGGACATGTTATAGCAGGCAAGGGAAAGTATTCTTAATTATTAAGGTCGTTCCACTTGAAGAGGTCCTTACTTAACAGCTGAGTCGGGCTTTTCCTGCTTAGACAAGTTGAAAACAATCTGTTTTCTTTATATATAGTTTATGTTTATGCATTATTCATAACCTTGTTAAAGCTAAATGTATTGTGACATAATTTTATTATTATTATTTAAAAAAAAATTTTCCCCCCTTTTAGTCAGATGAAGATTTCCAAGAGAGAATACGGGAAGTTGAGAACCTGATGAAGAAAAATGCTGACTGGATCTGGGACTGGTCTAGCCGACCTGAGAACAGTCCACCAAAGTAAGTAGTCATATCACAATTAGAGATAATCTTTTACCCCAACTATAATTATTACATGCCATGATTTGTAATTGTGATTCATAGAATTTGGAATGATGTCTGTGTGAGCAAAGGTGCTGGTGTGACATTAAACTGGCACTCACTTGATTTTAATGTATTCAGAACAATGAAAAATTAATGTGTCGCTCTGTAGGGAGTTCCTGCTGAAGCACCCTAAGCGCTCAACCTCTCTCAGCATCAGGAAAACCAGCGTCATGAAAAAGGGAGGCTTTCTCTCTTCTGACTTTCTGAAGCTTTTCCTTCCATCATTTATCATTTCCCACATACTCGCTGTTGGCTTAGGGTAAGCAGCATCATTTAATCTTTAACTCAGGCAGTATGCAAAAACTAAAAACACTGTACGGGAACCTCTTGAGTTGCTGCAGAAACTGTTGACCCACTAGACCTGATGTTTTCTATTTTCACATAAATATTGGGATGATTTTACATGCACTTAAAAATGGTATTTGTATATTAAATAATGACCAATCAATAATCTCTTAACATTTGCAGGATTTGCAGGGTAGAAAAACGACAGTGTCCTCACAACAAAACACTGAAATATATGTAAAAATAAAACAAACATAATGATGTTTAGAACAATGCCTGACTGGATAAACAGCAGTCCTGTTCAGTGTCTGACATTTAATAGGTTTAGGTAAGATACTCCCTGAAGTATATCAACTTCAGAATGACAGAGAATATAATTGTCTTTATTTAGGAGCCTGTGGTTATTATTCTATAGAGCATTATTTCAACACATCTTATTTTGGACTTTTATATTGAAAAACTACCACATAAACTCACTGGCCACCTCATTAGGTACACCTTAAACAAATTGGTGGAAATGTTCTTCAGAGATTTTGGTCCATATCAGTGATGCTTCGCTGGTATGAAGGGGCCCAAAGTGTGCCAAGAAAATATCCACCATGCCATCACACTGCCACCACCACCAGCCTGAAAACTACAGGGTGGATCTTTCATGTTGTTTATAGCAAATTCTGTTTTATAACAAATGTTTTTCCAATTTCATTTTAATGTCCAGTTTTGATGAGCAAATGCAAATTAGCTGGAGAGGCAGCGCTTCTGCATACCTTGCTTGTAATGAGTTGCTATTTGAGTTACTGTTGCCTCGCCATCAGCTTGAGCCAGTTTGGCCATACTCCTGGCATCAATAAGGCATATTCAACCAGAGAACTGCTGTTCAAGTTTCTCTTTTTCAGGCCGTTTTCTGTAAACCCTAGAGATGGCTGTGTTGGAAAATCCTACTTGATCAGCAGAATATGAATCATTTAGATCAGTCTATCTGGCACCAATAGCCATACCACGTTCAAATTCCTTTGAGTCACCTTCTCCATTCTGTTGCTCGATTTGAAATTCAGCAGGTCATCTGGACCATGTCTGCATGCATGCCTTAATGCTTTGAGTTGCTGCCATTGGCTGAAAAGTTGTACCTAATTTGGTGGTCACTGAGTTTGCATTTTACCCGGTTAAAAAACTATTTCAGTAGATACATCTAGTTAGTTGTGTTTATGTTTTAAAGCAGCATCTTAATTTCTCTGTTTTCTTCTTTCCTGGTAGGATATATATTGGAAGGCGCCTAACACATCCTAAATAGGATCGTGGCGCTTGGCACTACCACATCAACGTCATGCAACCATCTTGGCATGAAAACGGGACCTTCTAATGATCAAAGGAAATGTAGTAGCCATGTGACGTGGTCCTGTTGAATTCAGTGTTCCACATTTCCCACAGCAGTGTGGAGAGTTGAGGGATCAGTTATTGCTGTTTTTTGGGTGTAAACCTCTGAACACAGCAGTGGTGTTTTCTTCTTTTGATTGAACTCAAATCACTTTTTTTTAAAAAAAATAAATAAATAAATAATGCAAGCAGTTTTTTAGAGGAGGCAGATGGCTCAAAGAAATTTAACTTGACTGTTTTATTTGTTTTGGGGAATCTTTAGATTAGTTGATGGCACTCGTTACTGATTGCTTAGTTGTGCAATGATAAATTGTGATTTTCAAAAAAGAACAAACAGCATAGAAATGGCACATGTTCATCATCAAAAAACATTAAAAGTGTGAAACGTATGCATGACCTTAACTGTGTTACAGTTGATTTAATTCACAATGATGCAGAGCAGGCGAACAGCAGATGAACACAATTAAAATTTTATTGAACTTTGGTCAAAATAATAAACAAGTGAATACATTGCCACCATGTTAGGAATCAATGGACAAAGACAATGCATTATGTGTTTGTTTTAATTCATCAGTATATTTTGTGTAGTCAACCTTCATTTCTGCGTTCACAACTACAGAGATAAGATCCACATTTGCAATATGCGGTTCAAATTTGGGTGACATCCCTAATAAATGAGTAAGGGCACATGTATGAGGCCTGTCTTAATGTCCTACTTATCTCATGATCCGGAGGCACTCTATCACAAACTGTATGGTGTGCAATTTCCTCCTCGGTGTTTTCATAGACAGCCACGTGTAGCAGCAGTATATGAGGACATAACTATAAAATAGGATTTAC